AAAAACATTTTATTTTTTATTTATGAAGGTCTTTATAAAAAAAAAAAAAACCAGTATTGTAGTATGAAGTGAATTAGGTAAAAAGAATATATATGTATAGAAAAATATTAAAAAGAAATATACCAAAATGTTAGCTCTGGTTCTTTTAGAGTGATAGGATTTATAGTCGATTTTTATTTGCATTATACACATTTTCTTTCTCTAAAACTTAAAATAGGAAAAATATTATTTTTAAGTGAAGCTTCTCCACTTCTTTGGAGTAAAATCTCACATTCTTATGACACAAATTTTTCTTCCATAATTGTGGATATTCAATTTTTATGTTCATAACGAGGCCAGATATTGTGAATAAATTATAAGTGCTAAATTCTGTTTTGATGTAACATCAAGGCAGGCACAGAAATGCATGTACAATAAATGACATTCATATATTCTAGGAAAAAATAAGGTGGCATTTTCTATAATTCTAAATTTTGTCATGTGTATGGATAACATGGAAACACAGCAATTGTGAGATTCAACATATAAATCAGTCATGAAACACAAAACTCAGATTTGGCATTTATTTTAAACTTAAAGGATGTATTTGGCAATTGTACTGTAGACTGGTAAGTAGAATAGCCACTTGTTCTGATTTCTCATTTTTTATTATTTTTTGTTCTGCACGTTATTTTTTATATTATTATGTTTGTAATTCTGGTGAGGACAGTGTACTGAGAAATATTAGGAAACATATTTTCTCATTTTTCTTCCTGGAACTCTGGATACCCTTTCCTATGGTTGCTATGCAGATAAGACAATCCTATGAATGACCTAATGTTATGTTTACAATGTCATGCTATGTGAATTCTGAATATGTGTGAGAAAGAGATGCACTGAGCCTAGTAACTCAGGCAAAAGAGGTATATGGCTAGTCCATAATCTTTAGTAAGCAGTTTAAAGTAGATTAAAGGTGCAAATTTTAGCCTAAAGGAATAGAGCTATAGTGGCTTTGAAAGGAACTATTGCTTCATCCTGTGAAATCTAGTTATTTTGGATGAAGTGAAAATTCATAAAATTAATAAGCAGCTTTGATGGATAAATTCTTCAGATTGGGAATGAAAAAGGAGTACAAAAGCAAGTGTCTATGTCCTTATTTTTAGGTCACGAAAATACTCCCTTCCTGGACAATAGTACCCTTGTTGTACCCCTGAGTAGCACGACAGGCTTATTCAGTGTTGCCCAATGATAAGAGTGGGAAACAGTGTGGTTCTGTGCTGGAAAGTTGTCTTGCTGCTATTCTTACTTAAGTTTCTCCCAGATAGAAATAGGGGTGAATCGCCCTGGATAGAGCAATTGTCCAAGAGATTTTAAATATTTAAATACTTAAATAATACCCATTATTAACACTTACATAGTGATTTTAAAACCACATCATACTGATACGTGCAGAAATGTATATTGCTCACTTTATGGTTGGCAAGAGAATTGTTTAAAACGTAATAGGTGAAAAGTAAATCTTGTAAAATAGAGAAATTTCCAAGCAAAAGTTTCTGAGAAAGCCCATTTTCTCATCAGTACAGCCTTCTCTGCCCCCTCCACATTGCCATTTGAAAAGGAACCTGTTAAACTTGCACAGCTTGTCCCTTGTTTGTGAAACCTGATGCCATCGGCAAGGCATTTTATCAGTTTTTTGGTTCACTTGGAGCCATAGCAACCCACAGTGTGAACAATTGGCCAGGTATCCTCAGGTTCCTGACTGTTCCACGTCAGAAAAACTAGGACAAACCCCAAATACCCAATAATAGAGAATGGGAAGGTTCAGATAAACAAATGGTGGAGGTGGAAGAAGCTCAGAGAAGTTGTAAGCTCACCTTCTTATTTTCCTGATGTGAGTTCTGAAATATGGAGAGGGAAAGCAATTTTCAGACTGATAAAGTGGATGTGATTTGCGCCAGCTCTGGCATGGAGCAGACCTGGGCATGAACAGGGCTCTGCCACTTGCTATTTACCTTTGGGCAAATCAAACTCTTGGAATCTTTTTTCTTCAAGCGTAAAATGGAACAGTTTCTCTTCAGTAGGATTGCTATAGGGACAGGTGAGATAACTCTTATAAAATATGTAAAGCAGAGTAGGCCCTTCCAATTGCACTTTTATTAATATTTTAAAAACTGGATTAATCTATATTTAAGCAATCTTGAATTTCAACCTCCTTAAACTCTTCAGCTACTGTTTCTAAAACTTAAAATAAAATAATTGTAGGTTATAAATGGCAGCCTACAATTCTCAAGAGTGTAGTTGAGAATAATGTGTTCATATTGATGATGTGGTTAGTGATTTGCAATTATAGGCCGTATTCATTTCTATCTAGTTTTGTGTTGCTGTAGGAGATAAGATAAAGAGCCAACATACTATTTGGCTTTAAAACCAGTGTTTCCAGTTCACTAACTAATATGGAGCAGGGATCATTATTAATAACCTGGATTTTAGATCTCGTTCCATTTGTGTCTAGACCTGAGTTATTTATTCTTCAAAATCAAGTTCAAGTGTTGAAAGCCTGGGAATTTTTTTAAATTGAGTTAGTTTTATAGAAGGATTTATATTAACCTTGGAAGTTGGAACTGGCCAACTTTGATACAGAAGTCTAAAACTAATTAAAATTTTTTTTCTCAGTCATTCAAAATAGAATTCAAAATTCCTGAATTCTAGTGTTTGTATTTAATTGAAAAACATGAATGCAAAATGTCAAACTGGGATAATAAAATGATACTGTTAAGGACATACAAAGTTCAGTGGGTAGAAGGAGGAAGACAGAAAAATAATAAGTGAACATATTAGGATTTGAAATCTCTCCATGATTTCAGTCGACACTCTGTGCCAAATGTTACTTGTGTTTTGATTTAAATGTTTAAAATCTCTTGGACAATTGCTTTTATTGGAATACAGTTCATGACCAATTATGGTCACAGTGCTGCTTGACTGCTGACCCCCTAAATAACAGCTTTAAATAATGTGGTTCCCTCTCTTGTGCAGAGAACACCTGCTGATCCCACAGGGAGGAGGTTGGCTGGATTTAGAGGGTTAGTTAGCTGGAATACTCTCGGGAGAAGGAATGACGTTAGTCACATTACCTGTGAAAAGTTACTGATTGTACAGGCAATAAAACCTACCTCGTGGAGGCAAGAGTCCTTATCTATAAATGGTTAGGGGAGGAGGAAGTTTCTTGAGAGAAACCTAGCATATGTGAATTTTGAACTGTATGATAAGCCGGTGAGAGTAAGGGTGACATGCAGGTGACAGTTGTAGCTAGTTAAATATTCTATTGCAAGGGATAGTAGAGAATACAGAATGGTTTTACTAATTAAACTGAGTTTAGCCAATCCTCATTATATAT